CATGCTATAACTGTATTAACTGGAAACCTTAATACATGTGTGAATACATAGACCACAACATGTCCCTAGTGAGCCTCTAGTTGACTAGCTCGTTGATCAATAGATGGTTATGGTTTCCTGACCATGGACATTGGATGTCATTGATAACGGGATCACATCATTAGGAGAATGATGTGATGGACAAGACCCAATCCTAAGCATAGCACAAGATTGTGTAGTTCGTTTGCTAAAAGCTTTTCTAATGTCAAGTATCATTTCCTTAGACCATGAGATTGTGCAACTCCCGGATACCGTAGGAATGCTTTGGGTGTGCCAAACGTCACAACGTAACTGGGTGTCTATAAAGGTGCACTACGGGTATCTCCGAAAGTGTCTGTTGGGTTGGCACGAATCGAGACTGGGATTTGTCACTCCGTGTGATGGAGAGGTATCTCTGGGCCCACTCGGTAATGCATCATCATAATGAGCTCAATGTGACTAAGTAGTTAGTCACTGGATCATGCATTATGGAACGAGTAAAGTGACTTGCTGGTAATGAGATTGAACGAGGTATTAGGATAGCGATGATCGAATCTCGGGCAAGTAACGTACCAATTGACAAAGGGAATTGTATACGGGATTGCTTGAATCCTTGACATCGTGGTTCATCCGATGAGATCATCATGGAACATGTGGGAGCCAACATGGGTATCCAGATCCCGCTGTTGGTTATTGGGCAGAGAGCTGTCTCGGTCATGTCTGCATGATTCCCGAACCCGTAGGGTCTACACACATAAGGTTCGGTGACGCTAGAGTTTTTATTGGAATTAGTGTGCAATTACCGAATGTTGTTCGGAGTCCCGGATGAGATCCCGGACGTCACGAGGAGTTCCGGAATGGTTCGGAGGTAAAGATTTATATATGGGAAGTCCTATTTTGGCCACCGGAAAATGTTCGGGATTTTTCGGTATTGTACCGGGAAGGTTCTAGAAGGTTCCGGAGTGGGGCCCACCTGCATGGGGGTACCCACATGAACGTGGGTAGTGGGGGAAAGGCCCCACACCCCTGGTCAAGGCGCACCAAGATCCCCCCTTAGAAGGAATAAGATCATATCCCAAAGGGATGAGATCAAGATCCCTAAAAAAGGGGGATAACAATCGGTGGGGAAGGGAAATGATGGGATTTCTTTCCCCCACCTTTGCCAACGCCCCAATGGACTTGGAGGGCAAAAAACCAGCCCCCTACACCCCTATATATAGCGGGAAGGCGCGTGGGAGCCGCACCCCTTGCCCCTGGCGCAGCCCTCCCCCTCTCCAACTCCACCTCCTCCTCAGTAGTGCTTGGCGAAGCCCTGCCGGAGAACTTCAAGATGCACCACCACGCCGTCGTGCTGCCGGAGCTCTCCCTCAACTTCTCCTCTCCCCTTGCTGGATCAAGAAGGAGGAGACATCCCCGGGCTATACATGTCTTGAACGCGGAGGCGCCGTCCGTTCGGCGTTAGATCGGATCTTCCGCGATTTGAATCGCCGCGAGTACGACTCCCTCATCCGCGTTCTTGTAATGCTTCCACACCACGATCTTCAAGGGTATGAAGATGCACTCCCCTCTGTATCGTTGCTAGTCTCTCCATAGATTGATCTTGGTGATGCGTAAAAAAAATTTAATTTCTTTAACGATCCCCAACATCGAGCACCCCGAGGCCACCATATTCTTTTGGTCTACAAACCACCTTCCAGTTGACCTTGCATTTGGCTCCCGTTGTCTTGTCCAAGCTGGACCAAAGGAAAGCTCTCTCAATTTTGTTAAGGCTATGGAGAGAGCTCTGAGGCACGATGAGGGGCATGATGGAGAATACTGCTTGGGAGGTAATGACAGACCTAACAAGTGTCGTACGACCGATGGTAGTGATGTTTTGGCCCTCCCAAGTGACCAATTTGCCGGCCGCTTTGTCCTCAAGGTATTGGATATCCACCTTCTTCAGTTGCCAAACAGAGAGTGGTAGTCCTAGGTATTTGACCAGAAAAGAGGCACGTGCTGCCGGCATGCTCTACAGAATTTGCTCAAGGTCAAGGTGATTGCAGCGAATAGGCACAACCGAGCTATTTTGGAAGTTGGAACAAAGGCCTGTGACGTCCCCAAAGCCTCTGAGGATGGAGGCAAGATTGTCGATGTCCCGCTTGATGGGGGGCCACAAAGACTGCGCATCATCCGCATAGAGGGAGGTGTGCACCATGGCACCCCGACCACGGATCTTATGTAGGAGCCCTTTTCGCGTCGCCAAGTCTAGGATCTTATGCAAGGGGTCAATTTCCAGGACGAAGAGGAGTGTAGAGATGGGGTCCCCCTGCCTGAATCCATGGCCATGCTTGACAGGAGGGCCGGGTAGCCCGTTTAGCATTATCTGAGATGAAGAAGATGATAGAAGCGCAGCAATCCAAGCTCGAAATTTTGGAGGGAAGCCCAACCGTTGGAGAAGCTCAAGAATGTATCCCCACTTGACTGAGTCGAAAGCCTTTTTTATATCAAGCTTGAAAAGGAGTGTGGGGGTCTTGCATTTGTGCAGACGCCGGGCAAAATTCCGAACATACATGAAGTTGTCCTGGATACTTCTCCTTTTAATGAAAGCACTTTGGGCGTTGGAAACGAGGTCATCCATGTGGGGCGCAAGGCGTAGCGATAGAACCTTGGCAATGATTTTAGCGATGGCATGTATGAGGCTAATGGGCCTATAATCAGAGATGCCTTCCGCGCCATCCTTCTTAGGCAGCAGAACAACATTGGCAGAGTTTAGCCACTGCAGGTTGGAGGTGTGTAAGCAATCGAAGCATTGAATGACCCCCATGATTGTATGCTTGATGATTCCTCAACACTTCTTGAAGAATATCCCCGTGAAACCATCAGGTCCCGGCGCCTTGTTACTAGGCATCTCTTTTATAGCCTCCCAAACCTCCTCCTCGGTGATGGCGGCGTCGAGGTCTTGCAAGGCATGGGCCTCAATGCCCAGTTCCTCCCAATTGAAATCCTTATTGCTCGTACTTCCCCGGCCCATGACCTCGGAGAAGTGATCATGGATGATCTTCTCTTTTTCCTTGTGGTCGGTCACCCAACCATGAGCATGCTTTAGCCGGTGAATATGGTTTTTTCTCCTACGGGCATTGATGCGACGGTGGAAGAATTTGGTGTTGGCATCACCCTCCCTCAGATTTGCCAGTCTAGCACATTGGCTCTTCCTAGCCCACTCAAGAACCGCCAAACTAACCACTCTTCGCTTAAGTCTAGCACGCAGGTCCCTCTCCTCGGGTGAGAGGGCTCGTTCCTCTTGCGCCAAGTCCAACTGAAGGATCACCAAGAGGGCCGCATGGAGTTGGATCTTGGCCTTGGAGAAAAACTTCTTGCTCCATTCAGTGAGCCGGGTCGCGGTTTTCTTAAGCCTATGATGAAGAATTTGGAAAGGCTTTGTGTGGTTTACACGCTCATTCCACGCCTTTAGGACGGCGTCATTGAATCCAGGCAAAGATACCCAAAAAATTTCAAATTTGAAGGACCGTGGACGTCTAGGTCCCTTGTCATCGGCAAGCAGGAGGGGGCAATGGTTGGAGAGGAAAGATGAAAGGGCATGCAACACATGTGTGTTGAAAGTTGTGTCCCACTCGGCGTTGCAAAAGAAAGAGTCAAGCTTGCAAAGGGTGGGGTTTTCCCGCTCATTGCTCCAAGTAAAGCGTCTATTTTGGAGATGAATTTCTTTGAGCTCACAAGATTGAAGGGTTGAGCGGAAACGGTTTATCCTGCTCCGGTTTACATTTCTCTTGTTCTTGTCTCGCGCTCGGTATATTTGATTAAAATCTCCGAGGGCCAACCAAGCAACACCCGGCAAAGGCTTGTGGACGACAATCTCGGTAAAGAAAGAGTCTTTACTGGCGTGGTCAGTGGGACCGTAGACAGATGTTATCTTGAAGCATACATCTGTCGCTCGAATGAGAACCTTGCCGGAGAGGCAAAAGGCCGACGAAGAAATGTCGGAGACCTCGACGACGTTGTCATCCCATAGTAATAAGATCCCACCCCTAGTTCCCGCCGGTCGCTGCGCAAAACTTTTCAGCCGGTTGCCACCAAGGAAGGCAGCCACATATTTGTCCACGCTATCTAGCTTCGTCTCTTGTAAACACACAATTTGGCACGAGGAATCTGCAATCGTAGCGCTGACGGTTGCCCTCCGGGCTGGGCAGTTTAGACCACGTATGTTCCAACTCAGGGTGTTTATAGGTTGTGGAGTCATGGGGCACACGAACATTCACCTTGATCAGTCCAGGAGGAGGGAGGACAGCAATGAACGGACAGCAAAATAATAACAGTACTGAACTAGGCTACAAACCCCATTGGGGCGAGCCGTAGGAGGCCTGGGAGGGGGGGGGGACTCGGGCGGAGCAAGGATGCCCATCAGGCGCTCCTCAAAAATAGGCGCCAGAACATCTTCAGGGCAAGCTAAGGCACGGCTTCGCACGGGGGAGGGCGTGCGCCCTTGAGGTGTCGGTCGTCCCCGACCCTGCCGGCGTTGACGCTCAGGGGCGCAGCCCGACGCGCCAGACCTCTCCATGCTCCTCCAGGCGCCGCTCTCAAGAGGAGCGGACCCCCCCGGTGTCCCCTCCGCTGTCTCCGACAACCGTGCTGCCGCCACGCCTGATCTCCAAGCGGGCTGTGGCCTCGACTTCCCCCTGGCAAGCCCCTCGCCCAGCCAAGCCTTGCTGGAGCTTTGTGCGCCCGCGTCTCTCGTGCTGCCCCTGCGGTCGCCCTCCAGGCCGCCGGGTTTCCAGACATCGCCTACACCGCCCCTGTGCTGCGTCGCATAGTTAAGATACAGGGAGAAAATGAACACATGCAAACAGCGGCAAATTCATGGCAAGGCGATGCACATAAATAATGATGCAAAATCTCAAAAATTTCAGCATTACTATTTATTGTTTCATGTGTCAACAAACACCTCAAGAGGATTACATGCTCCACGCCAACGATTTCAGCTTTTTCTACAAACCTACTGTTGTGTATCCCTGACCTTCTGAGCCCTACAAACAAAACAGAACCGTATGACCTAAAATCGGCTACAAGCCTGTAAAGGGTCACATGAAAAGAATGGTGATGAATGAGAGTCACGAAACATGATGTTCTGGGATTCATACTGTGTGGCTATTAGACTCCAGTAGCCTGTCTGATTCTGAAGGCATATCGGATGACATTTCAAAATTTTGCTTGGCCGTCATCTTGTTCCACTCATTCTCAACGCGGAAGAAAACCCACTGAAACCGCCTCAGCATTTCCAAAGCTGTTATCGCAAACACTGTGAGGTAGTTGTGCCGAAGATGCGCCGACAGCTTGTATGTCCATGTGCAGCGGAGGATGAGATTGCTGCCTAACACCCAGTAATACACCTGTAGAGCAATCACATCAAGACAAATGAAAAAATACCAATGTAGGCTGCTTTAAACCATGTACATATATTCAAGACTATACCCAGTTCCGCCCATAAAGAAGACTTGTCCATGTGCTTGGGCTTTTGAACATGAAAATCCTGGTTAAAATACTGCAGGAAAAGAGAAAAAACTCATTAGCAGCAGTTTGCATGTTCAAGGAGTAGAGAATAATTTTATGAAGACAGGCACCTCAAATCCCAATCGCGCTTTATATCCCAGTAGAAGGAATACAGCGAATTTATAACTCCCGAAATAAGCCAGAGGGGCCGGTAAAAGCTAACCCACTGGTCAGGGAATACATGATACTTGAGCGCCGATAAAAAAATCACCGGGAATGCTGTCGAGTACTTCAGTGCTGGGTTTTGGACAAAATTACTGTTAAACGATTTCCATAAACAGGAATAAACACATACAATCCCAAATATTTATATTACATTTTAAACATCCAAGTTCACCTAGTAAAAAAATAAACAATCAAAGCTGCTGTATGCTGAGTAAATACCGTTCAGAAGACAACTTTTCTCCTTTGTATCCTTGTACTGTCGAAGGCATTGGAAGAAACGGCACAAATAAGGGAGCACAAGAACTAGAGGAATAGCTATAGAGTGGCTACCACAAATTGAATCAGCTTCAAACCAAGCAATTGTCGCCACCTATAAAATACCAAATAACAGACATTAAAGAGGAATAAGATGAATTCTAGCCATAACTTATCAAACAAAGCATTACTGCATTAGCATATCAGCACTATGAGCATATCAATAGGGAAATAAAGAAATTAACCTGACGATTGACCATGCGGCAAACTGAACGTTCCAAATCTGAGAACACCTGTCAAGAAATGCAAGAATTAAGAGAAAATGCTAGAAATGTCAACATGGGACAACAAGAAGCTACAAAACTTAGCAATAGCATGCACCACATTTTCACGTAGATAGCATTTTCTCCCGAAACATACTACATTATAGCCAATACAAGAAACAGACAATCATATAATATAAGCTAAACTTATGTGGTACTATCCAACAGTGATAAGCTAAGCAAAATAATCCACAATCAATATTTCATATAAGTAAGCGGATACCTTTGACATGGATGTAAAAATATCAGCCAAAAAGAAGTCGGGGAATGTAATTGCCTGCAAAATAAAGGCATGGGGAATAATTAAATTTCATTGTATACAGCTGCTGGTTCCACAAGCACAATCAGATAGATTAATGCCACGATGGACCATAACATAATGGTCCGTTTCTAGGATGGCTCAAAGCAAAACTTATGCATTACTAACATTTTGAACAACTTACTTGCAATGGAAGTATTATACGTAACATGGTCCTCAGGAAGTAAAAGCGTGATGATAAATAGAACATATCAAACGGAGAAAGGAGGACTATCAAAAGGATAGCATACAATAGAACCTGCAAAGAATCAGAAAGATACGTCAATTTAACCATCCCAGATTTGAAAAGTAACCCATTGCTAAAGAATACGAAGAATGCATGGCAAGATTTTTTTCCGTTTCCAAGTTGAGGAAGGAACAAGTAGACCTTGCATCAAGCAGAACTTCAATTCACTTTACTATTACAAGCAGACAGCAATATGTATACATGTATATCAATTGTTTTCAAGGGTAGACGTACATTAATTTCTGTACTTGCACATAAACCGTACTAAATGGACCGTTTGCTTTATATGATTCAGGAAAATAGATTTAACTTCTAGAAAAGTAGTCTATGTGCAGTGAAGTGCTGTGTTACAGAAACATACAATGGACAAACTACCACTCAGATCTTCTAATATGACAGGACGTAGTAAGTTCCTATTTATCAATTAGCACTGCATATCCAGTCAGACACACTCAGTGGGAGAATAATTTTAGTATGTCAATAATACTATAGCTCTGCAGATGATATTCCTGCACACTGTAGAGGCCAAAAATCTTATGAACTCTGGCGCAGAAGAAGAAATCATGAAATGAAAAGATTCAATGGGCTGGATATTACACTGGTTGAGAAGCAGCAAGTGACACTTCCCCATGTGAGTACAGGTATAGGTAAGCTGTCATACTTGTGGGAACAATTAAAGTAAGCCAAGTAGCACACTGTCAATAAGACAAAAAGAAAAGTTTACTTTGGCAGAATAATACGTCAGATACAAGTAATATGAGAATTTATACAGCATAATCTGAACATAAAGAACATGGAGAATGCACAAACAACAAAATAAATCACATCTAATACAAAAGGTCATGATATAGGTTAAAGAAAAGAGAGCAAGGTTCAAAAAGAGGAGCACTCAGCAGTCAGCACTCACATTAGAAAATGCAACAGGCACATTTATTCTTAAGAATAATCATCCGAATGAGGCATGTTCGTTGAGAAACTACAGTATGTATTATCTATGAGTGTGGTTGCACTGCCAAAAAAATTGGATTGGCAACTAGGTGTTGTGGTCTTGGAAGTTAACATCAGCAGTTCAGCACAAATGTTGTAAGGAAACGTTTTGCAAAATCAAGACGCTGTCACAAGTCACAATAACTGTAGGGCACATAAATTATTAAGAAATGTATACAGAAAATGTTCTATGGAATGACTATAGCATGTTGCCTATGGATAGCTATGTCTGTTCAAATGCACCTGGTAGGAGCTTGGGCCCTACCTGGCCTGAACCGTAGGTTGTAGGGGTGGGAGGCTGGTTGGCAAGGGGATGAGCGCCGGCGGCGGCGCGGCGCCGCCGTAGTTGTGCGGGAGAAGGTGGCGGCTGAGAGGGAGATGGCGCAGGGGAGGAGGCTAGGGTTAGGTCTCCCGGCTCCCTAAGGAAGCCAAGCAAATATGATTGCTTCTTGCTTGATTCCAAAACGGATCCTTACACGAGTTTATATAATCCTCCTAATAAGATAATTGGGCTAAGTCCCTAATAACTGGGCTAAGCCCCTAATAACGATAAGATAGACTGGGCCACAACTAACTGGGCTAAGCCCCTAATATGCCGGTCATAACATTTCTCCCCGCCTGCACAAACAGCTCGTCCTCGAGCTGGAAGGCAGAAAAGCGCTTGCGGAACTCCTCGAGGTGATCAACCGTCGCCAAACACCTCCGCGGCAGCTGGGGCGGGCAGGTCACCGAGCCCGGCGGCGGCGGCGTCCTCCTCAATGTAGTCCGCAGCCTCCAGGTAGAAGAGTCGCGGGCAGACGTGGCCGTGCACGTAGGGCTCGTCGCAGTTGAAGCACAACCTTTGGCGGCGACGCTCGAGTTGCTCGGCCGGGGTGAGCCGGCGGAACGGGCGCGCCGCGGTCGCGGCGAGGGGTGCCGCGCTGAGCAGGCAAACCCTGCGCGGGAACGTCCGGCCAGGGTGGTGGCCTAGCGGCCCGGGACGGTGACGCCTGCTGGATGGCCACCGCGCGGCGCTCGAACGCGCGGGCGTAGTACATGGCTGTCGCGAGGTCCTAGGGTCCACGCAGCTCCACGTTCACGCGGATATGATCCGGCAGACCGCCAACGAAGAGCTCGGCCCGCTGGCGAGCCGTCACGCCGGACGCGTGGCACGCCAGGGCCTAAAAGCGGTCGGCGAAGTCCTGCACCGTAGAGGTGAAGGGGAGGTGGCCCAACTCCGCCAGCCGACTCCCGCGTATCGGCGGCCCGAAGCGAAGGAGGCAGAGCTCGCGAAAACGCTCCCATGGAGGCATGCCGCCCTCGTCCTGCTTGAGAGCGTAATACCAAGTATGTGCGGTGCCTCGGAGGTGATATGAAGCGAGCCAGGTGCGGTCCCACGCGAGCGTGCGTTGCCCCCGAAAGAACTGGTCACACTGATTAAGCCAGTTGAGGGAGTCCTCGGTGTCGCCGTAGGTGGCGAAGTCGAGCTTGGCGAAGCGCGGCGGCGTCTGGGTATGACCGCCGTGGGGGTACTGCTCGGCGGTGCGGAGTAGCGGCGCCGGGTCGGTGATCACAGGGGGGGCCCCCGTGGAACGGCGGCGCGTCGAGGCCAACATAGGGGCCCGCGGAGCTGGAGGACCCGCCATACTGCGCCTGTTGTGACGGCACGTGCGGCTGTCCCGAGGCCATCGTGTAGACCGGCTGAGACGATGACTCGGTCAAGCAGGCCGGTAGCGGGGACGGCGAGGGCGGGAACCGGACCTGGTGGATCGGGACTCCTGCCGGCACGGTCCATGCGGGGCCGAAGCTAACCGGCGGTGGCTGCTGCAACTGTAGCGGCTACTGCGATGTCGCACCGGGCAGCGGCAGCGGCTGCTACGGAGGAGCGGCGGCTGCCACTGCAGCCAGGGCGGGGCGGTGGTGGATGGCAGCTGCAGCGGCCCGACGAGCATGACGGAGGCCGCCTGGTGCGGCGGCTGCCATGGCAGCCACGGCGGCGCGGTGGCGGCGATGGGCGGCGCAGCCGGGTGCGGCCCGTAGGACCCGGCCAAGAACAGGCGGATCTCCTGGACCACCTGGGTTAGGTCCCGCAGCGCCCCAGACACCTCCTCCGGGGTGAGGACGGCGGGGGCGAGCACGACAGAGGTCCCGACGTGGGCAGGAGCAGGGCGATGGTCGTGGTGGTCGCCGGAGGCGACGAGGTGACCGGCATCGGGAGAGACGGGCTGGGCGGCGGTGAAGACATGATCGAACCGAAGCTAGCTGATACCAAACTGGTAGGAGCTTGGGCCCTACCTAGCCTGAACCGTAGGTTGTAGGGGTGGGAGGCTGGTTGGCGAGGAGATGGGCGCCGGCGACGGCGCGCCGGCGCCGTAGTTGCGCGGGAGAAGGCGGCGGTTGAGAGGGAGATGGCGCAGGGGAGGAGGCTAGGGTTAGGTCTCCCGACTCCCTAAGGACGCCGAGCAAATATGATTGCTTCTTGCTTGATTCCAAAACAGATCCTTACACGAGTTTATATAATCCTCCTAATAAGATAATTGGGCTAAGCCCCTAATAATGATAAGATAGACTGGGCCACAACTAACTGGGCTAAGCCCCTAATATGCCGGTCATAACAGCACCCAACATGAATATTAACTTCTGCAAGTCCAGACTCAAGCAACATTTTAAAATACAATTGCAATCAAGAGACATCAATAGGCATACCCTCCAAATTTCTCGGTGTGATAAATGTGTTTGCGCGAGATCAAACACTTTTACATAATTCACTGATGATTGTGCAAAGACCCACAAATTCACTCCCCATAACCAAATCATAAGTGCCTGCAATAAGAATACTAAGCACAGTTACATAGATGCAAAGGTAGGTGTTTGATTTTCTGTGTATTTAGCTTGAGCATAATACAAATACAGTAATAAAAAAAAACTCACCACAAGGAAGAGAGGATTATAGTACAAGAAAACCTCATACAGAAATAAATCTCGCAGATCAGCACTCATCCTCATAACAGAGTCCCACCCTATCTGTAATCCCAAGAGTATTACCAATTACCACACGATCGATTCATGCATGAAAATAACTTCACTGACCGATCGTAGAAAGACTGACCTTGCAACAGCATAAACCCCACACGAGAAACAATATAGCCTGGAAAAAGGACGGGTTAATAAGCAATTTGACAGATAAAACCCAGGAAGATATGAAATCAACAAAACAAGATATTTTGGGTACATTTGATTAGTTTACAGTGTAGCAGGTTAATATGTATACATATAATTTTATAAGGACATATAAACGTATTTGAGCCTCTAAGAGGAAATTCAATAATAAATCATTGAGGAAACCAAGCAGCAGCTCCAACAGGACAATGACAATCCTGAATGGCCATTTACAAGGTGCGACACACAGCTCCAGCAGCTCTATCATCATAGTCACTGGCGGAGGCTCATGGAGGCCAAAGGGAGCCACACACCCCCTCCCCCCTTCCAAAATTGAAAAAGAAAATTTACTACTCCATTCCTAAATATAGTGTGTATTAGTTTTCTAAGAAAATTCCACAATGTAGTGCATAGTTTGAGTCCAACCCAATTCTAGACCAAACTAACCCTCCACCAACGCATCGCCTTTGTCCCTTATCTATTTCCTCTCGTACAGATGGGATGGGACTGAACCAGATGATGGGAGGGTGCGGTAGTTTTCCTCCAATTTTCTAGTATACTGACTCATTGGGTACTGGGGCCTGAGGCCTGGAACAAATCGATTGGGGGCTTTCTCGTCCAAAATATAAAGCCAGCACATGCATTGGTATGTGGGCTTCTCTCTATGTGCACTACATTCAGGAATGGAGGGAGTACTAAGCATCAGCCCAGCCAAGAATAATCTCCTCCCTCCCAGTCCCAGGTTCCAGCCCAATGAATCGACAATCTCTCCCACGCACGCACGGACGCGCTCGTCTCTACTCCTCCTTGTTGGTTTTTAGACTGCTAGATCAAATCACCACATGAGCTGTACGTACGTGCAAGCTAGCACTGGAAGCTAGCCCACAGGCATCTGGATTGATCTACAATAGCACTAGCACACGTATAAACACGTACACATGAACTTGACCTGGGCTGATCGATTAGATGAATCGGCTCTCTCGGCAAGAACGGCAGAGGCACAACACAAAATGATTCAGTGATGTTTAAGTATCCATGATTTTTGTGATATCTACATCAGTAATGAAGTACAGGTTCAGATTGTGCTATGATTTTTTTTCGTACTATTGATCATGTTTTGATTCAAAGAAAAGGTGACAATGCTTTTTGAATCTTTATCTCGGTTGTTCTACTGTTCTAGCTATGTAGCACTTGATAATAGTAATTGTCCACAATACCAGGCATGCTGGTGTTACCATGTATCTGTGTGAACAAGCTATAGAGATATATGTATATATCTTATTCTAGTTTATGTTATGAGACAGTGAGCTGCATCTGTTTTTGCACACATTTTACTTTGAGCTTGAGATTGGCCCCCCCTCAGTTGGTCGTGGCGCTCCGCCAGTGTTACTGTTCTGTAATGAACAAAGGTGCATCTGAGACTAGTAGAGAGGTAGACATGGTATGAGTTTGAGCCCCATTTACAAAGTTTGCATATTTAAGGCAATGAAAACTTGGAAAGAGAGAATCATCAGGTGTGATGGGTTTATCCCTTCTCCATTCTCAGCTTCGCATTCTAAATACTAACCATGATCAACACGACATTATATAACTCGAGAGGATTCTTCATAAAAGAGGGTATTAATTCACCCGTTTTCGGGAGCAGGTCCATTATACTACTGCAGTATTTCAGACAAATGTATGCGATGGGTATAACAAGCACAGACCATCTGAAATCAGAGCTCAGGTGTGTGAAACTTACACTTAGAGCTAATACATTCCACAGCACAGTAGAGAAAAAGTAGTGGCTGAAAGGCTAACCTACCTTAAACCGCCAAAGAAAAAGCGGCGAAGGCATGCCCACAACCGCAGGGACGGACGCGCCCTTCATCTCGCCGCCGATCCCGGGCCTCTGCGCGCGCAGGCGCGGCGCCTGCGCCTCCGCAGGAACCCTGCGTACGCATAGATTAACCGCGCCGGATCAGCAGCATGCAATCCAGAAACGGACGAGCACAGGTTAGAGCGGAGCGGGATCTCGCCGTTCTCCCACGAATCAGACCCAGCCAAAGGCGGTGCCGCGGTGGCTTACCGGGAAGCAACCGCCCGGATCTCCACCTGAACAGGGGAGAAGCCGCCGACGGGGTGAGAGGAAGGCGCAGCTGCCGCCGAATAAGGCGAGCAGGACCGTCAGGATCGAATCGAATTGAAAAGCTGACGAATGATTCGGCTGGGTTCAGGCAAATGTCTGCCGGATCTGAGGCGGCTGCTCCGGAGCTCCCCTGACCCGTCGTTGCCTTCAGCCAGACGCCCCAGCAACAGAGAGGGAGAGATCCGGGAGGTCGCCGGTCGCCTTCGACCGTCTGGCAACAGCGGGGAGGAGACCCGCAGAGATGAGAACACATGGCAAGCACGAATCTTAAAGCACGAACATGATCGATTTGATGCCAAAAGTTGGCATGCCAATTGCCTAGTGATTGGCTGGTTATCTTTTTTTTCATGCCAATCTCACAAAAAGTTATCAACTTGGCAAGCTTTGATTTTGCCAAATGTTGGCAAATCAATTGTGCTCTCAACTTTGCATTTACATGATGTGATTCTTGTCGTGGGAACAAATCTGACAGTAGAGTACAGGGGCAAAGGCGGAGCCAGGATTTCTCAAAGCCTGGGTTAAAGTTAAGCTAACAAAAATAATTCAATACCACACATACCAAAGCATATGTTAGAAGTATGCAACAAATCCACATTTAAAATGAAATATGAATTCATTATTACCATGAGAGAAATTTCAATAAAGAAATAGATTTAACAAAGTACATCATTACAAGTGTTGATACCAAATAACGAAGAATTGCCCAATTTGAGGCCATCATTTCTTCACGTACAAGGACGTTGAGCTGTAAATATAAAATAAGTATTTAAAATAAAAAATTGGACGTAGACCAAGTCAATTGTTCATATTAAATTTTGCACACAAAAGAACATAATATACCATTCTCAAAAAGTGTACAAGGCATTAGCCCCTTGTGTTTCCTCATTTTTGATAGCACTGTACGATCTTAATATTATCAATGCTTGCACATATATCACTCAATATAGCATACCAAACGGTGATTCATCGAATCATCTTGGATTCCTGATTTCCTGTTGATAATGAAATAAAATCGATTAAGTAACAGGAGTATAATTTGAAATCACCAACTCACCGAATTTGATTGATATAGAGGAAGTAGCAAAAATAATGTAAATGATACAAACTACAAATTACATGTTTAACCGTGTGCGCGTGGGAGTTGGAGACTCGGAGAAGAACAAAAGGCGAATGGTCAGAACGGCGGACGGGACACAGATGCAGAGCGGGTTGACTAGCGGCGGCGCAGCGCCTGAGCGAGGGGAGGGTTTCTCCGCTTTCAATCTGGCCAGAGTATTTTTGGGAACGTCAGGCGAGAGACCATCGACGCGGTTAATTGCGTGATTCGTTTTCTATTCTGATCAGCTATGGGGAGCTTATAGTTGGGCTAATGGGCTGGCATGGTTGTGGCTTTGTGCGTTCGTGCGCTAAATCCTGGGGCTAGGCTTCTTTGTATCACTAATTCTGGATTTTTTCTATTACACGTATAGGTTCTAGTCGGGCCACGCCCGGGACTACAACCCCAGTGGCCCCAGGCCCAAATCCGCCTCTGTATAGGGGTACGTATGAGAGGGCAGAGTCCAGCTATGGTGTGGTTGTACACTCGGATTTACAAGTTCAGACCCCTCTCGGAAGAGGTAAAGACCCTACGTCTCGGTGTTGTGGGAGCTTTGTTTTCTAGAGTGTGATGTTACAAGAGGTGCGAACCCTTGTGCAGGGTAGAGGGGCGGCTTATATAGAGTCTACTGGCCCCTCATGAATGCCCCCTCACCCAAGGGTTTGATAAAGAGGTTAAAGGATGCGAGAGTTACAGGTAACGCCAGCATTAGATGTTCTTTATGAGGGCGAACTGATCGCCTGACTGTTGCTATCTCTGGGTGACTCTAAGCCTTCTGTGGTCGAGTGACGCTTGGTATCCGAGTGAGCAGAGACAGTCGAGTGTTGGTGAGACCATCGAGTGAATCCCTCGTCCGAGTGACTTGTAAGTTGCAGGTATCCCAGTCGGCGACTCCTTCATAACCTTGTGGGCCTTGGATTCTTGTATGTAGTGTCCTTGGATAGTAATACCGGCACCGAAGACAACGAGACTCCGAATGGCTCTGAAGATAATGAACACCTTATCGAGCCCACATCCGAACAGGACGAGCGGGAAGAAGGTGAATACTGCCCTAGACGCGCTGACAACAAAGATACGAAAGACATCAACTACATGCCAGAATCCGAAGAGGAGGTCAGCCTCGGTGACGAGGACTTCATTGTCCCAGAGGAACCCCTCGACCAAGAACGCTTCAAGCGACAACTTATTGCTACAATTCGGAGCCTGAAGAGGAAGCAGCAGCAACTCAAAGAAGAGCAAGACATGCTGAACGAAAGGTGGACTATCCTGGCTGCCGAGGAATACGGCCAAGAGCGACCAGTCAAAAGTTACCCTAGGCGCAAGCTGATGCCTCAATTCGACGATGAAGTCCTTGAACCAATACCATCGAAATACAATCAGGCAGACCAACCAGACCAACCACCACGTGGACGGGACAAAGCGACATATCAAGCCGAACACCAACCTGCACCCCCTTGCCGAAGAGGCAGGAAGACTGTAGCTGCGGGATATACATACGACTTGCAACGTGACCTAGCCTATAAAGCTAGTCAGACCAGATCAATCTATGGATCAAGGGGGCGTGCCCCGGCATGAGATAATGGCTATGAAGCCCGGCGTGACGACCTCTACTATGTTCGAGATCAGTATTGAACCCAAATGTCAGCCGCCCTCCGCCATGACATCGCTAGGCACAGAGGAGCCGCACATCCCTTATGCTTTACTGATGAGGTTATGGAACATCAGTTTCCGGAAGGGTTTAAACCCGTAAACATCGAACCATACGATGGAACGACGGATCCGGCCGTCATTGAAGACTTCCTTCTCCACATTCATATGGCTCGAGGAGACGATCTCCATGCAATTAAATATCTCCCCCTAAAGCTAAAAGGACCAGCACGGCACTGGCTAAACAACCTCCCAGAAAACTCCATTGGAACCTAGGAAGACTTGGAAGATGCCTTTAGGGCTAACTTCTAGGGCACTTATGTCCGGACACCGGATGCTAACGACTCGAGTCACATAATTCAGCAGCCAGGTGAATCAACCCACAAGCTTTGGAATCAGTTCTTAACTAAAAAGAACCAGATCATAGACTGTCCGAACGCCGAAGCCTTAGCGGCCTTTAAGCACAGCGTCCGTGACAAATGGCTCACTCGACACCTTGGGCAGGAAAAGCCAAAGACCATGGCAACATTAGCGACACTCATGACCCGCTTCTGTGCGGGCGAAGATTGCTGGTTGGCTCGTAGAAGTAACAACTCAGGCGACCCCGGCACCTCTAAGGTACGGGACAGCAATGGTAAACCTCGCTGCAATAAAAGCAAACGTCGGAATAGCAGCAGCGACGACGCAGACGATACGACAATCAATGCCAGATTCAACGGTCCAAAGTCTGGTCAGCGGAAGAAACCTTTCAAAGGCAAAGACGGGCCATCCAACTTAGATAAAATCCTTGAGAGGCCCTGTCAGATTCATGGCACACCCGATAAGCCTACAAATCATACTAACAGGAACTGTTGGGTTTTCAAACAGGCTGGTAAGTTAAATACTGAACACAAGGGCAAAGGGCTCCCAAGCGAAGACGATGATGAGCCCCGTCAGCCGAACACCGGGGGTCAAAAACAATTTCCCCCCAAGGTGAAAACAGTGAACATGATATATGTCACTCACATCCCCAAAAGGGAGCGCAAACGCGCGTTACGGGACGTCTATGCCATAGAGCCTGTCGGCTCCAAGTTTAACCAATGGTCAGCTTGCTCGATCACCTTCGATCATAGGGACCACCCAACCAGTATCCGTCATGGGGGTTTGACTGCCTTGGTCCTTGACCCAATCATCGATGGATACCACCTCACTAGAGTCCTCATGGGCGGAGGAAGCAGTCTCAACTTGATCTATAAAGATACTGTCTGAAAGATGGGGATTGACCCATCATGAATTAAGCCTACTAACACCACCTTTAAAGGTGTGATACCAGGAGTGGAGGCCCGTTGTACAGGCTCAATCACACTGGAGGTGGTATTCGGCCTCCGAAATAACTTTCACAGTGAAGAGTTAATCTTCGACATCGTCCCTATCCGCAGTGGTTACCATGCATTGCTCGGACGAACTACCTTGTCCCTCTTTAACCCAGTTTCGCATTATGCTTGCTTGAAGCTCAAAATGCCTGGACCTCACAGCGTTATTACAGTCAATGGTAATATGGAGCGCTCACTCCATATTGAAGAACACACCGTGGCCCTTGCAGTCGGTGTATAGTGGCCTTATCAAGCCGAGCAGTTCACAAGCCAATAAAGCCAATGACGCATCCAAACGAGTCCGGTCTGCGCATAGATCAGCGGACCCAAACATTGATTAGCAGTTTGGCCTCCGCCGATCGCCCCACCAGGTGGCGGTTCAGGTACCGTGTGTACATAATTACGCAAAATACCCTGGGCGACGCCGAAGGCACGCTGCAGAATAGGTCCATTGCACGGCTTGACCATAAATGGACCGCATACCCCCCCTTCCTTTTTCTTTTCATGCAGGTTCATCAAGAGCCCTACTTACCGGTTGGTTGTCACATGAGATCCTTTAAGGCTAGCATGTCCCAGCCATCAAACACTCCTCTCAAAGGACTCACTACTAAGGAGGAAAGGCGCAGACATGCGGCGGGGCATCATTA